TTCTTTTATAATTACAAGTATCTTTTTATATTTGTTTTACAGTAATCAGTATCTTTTTGTATTTTATTTACATTTACAAGTATCTTTTTGTATTTAATTCACATTTACAAGTATCTTTTTGTATTTAATTCACATTTACAAGTATCTTTTTGTATTTAATTCACATTTACAAGTATCTTTTTGTATTTAATTCACATTTACAAGTATCTTTTTGTATTAATTCACATTTATAAGTATCTTTTTGTATTTAATTCACATTTACAAGTATCCTTTTGTATTTAATTCACATTTACAAGTATCTTTTTGTATTTAATTCACATTTACAAGTATCTTTTTGTATTTAATTCACATTTATAAGTATCTTTTTGTATTTAATTCACATTTACAAGTATCTTTTTGTATTTAATTCACATTTACAAGTATCTTTTTGTATTTAATTCACATTTATAAGTATCTTTTTGTATTTAATTCACATTTACAAGTATCCTTTTGTATTTAATTCACATTTACAAGTATCTTTTTGTATTTAATTCACATTTACAAGTATCTTTTTGTATTTAATTCACATTTATAAGTATCTTTTTGTATTTAATTCACATTTACAAGTATCTTTTTGTATTTAATTCACATTTACAAGTATCTTTTTGTATTTAATTCACATTTACAAGTATCTTTTTGTATTTACTTTACCTTTACAAGTATCTTTTTGTATTTACTTTACCTTTTCTAGTATCTTTTTGTATTTTTTCCTACTCCAATATACAGCATACGTTAGTATACTTAATTATTTCGTTATATTTATTCTTATATGATATGAAGGATTTATATTATAAAAACTGGAAAGGGTTTATAGTTTATATAAAATTTATATAAGGGCGCTTGTTTCAAGGGAGGGGAGAGGAGAGAGGGGAGGGGAAGGGAGAGGGGAAATAAAAGAGGGAGCAGGCGGAAGGGGAGAAAAGAGCGAGACTTGAAAGGGCTGGGGTTGAAGAAGGGAAAATGAGAGGAGAGAGAGAGAGAGAGAGAGAGAGAGAGAGGAAGAGAGGGGAAGAGGAGGGGAAATCTGTTTATAATAACATTTGGGGTTATGTAGGACAGATGTGTACAGCTGTCACACACACACACACACACACACACACACACACACACACACACACACACACACACACACACACACACACACACACACACACACAATTGGAACCTCTCCTCTGTCTCTTATCAGTAGAAGAGAAATTCTCACCAAACACCTGACATGTGTCTCACTTCCTGCCCTGATAACACCTGTGATAAGGGACGCGCCAGTGGGTCACAAATGGGAATGATTGGAATTTGAAATTGACTCTGAAATAAAAATCTTGAAAATTGGTTGACGTTGGTGGAAATTGGGTGAGTGAAATTGGGTGAGTGAAATTGGTTGAGTGAAATTGGGTAAATTGGGGGAAATGTAACTCCTTTGCGGATGATACTAGGATCTGCATGAGGCTGTCATCTGCTGAGGACGCGGTTAACCTCCAAGAAGATATAAACAAAGTTTTCCAGTGGGCAACGGTAAACAATATGATGTTCAATGAGGACAAATTCCAACTACTCCGTTATGGAAAACTGGAGGAGATAATAACTAGAACAGAGTATACTACTGACTCCGGCCATACAATAGAGCGGAAAAATAATGTAAGGGACCTGGGAGTAGTAATGTCTGAGGATCTCACTTTGAAGAATCACAACAGTGCCACGATCGCACGTGCAAAGAAAATGATAGGATGGATAATGAGAACTTTCAAAACGAGAGATGCCAAGCCAATATGATCCTTTTCAAATCACTTGTTCTCTCTAGGCTGGAATACTGCTGTACATTAACATCTCCATTCAAAGCAGGTGAAATCGCAGATCTAGAGAGTGTACAGAGATCCTTTACTGCACGTATAAGTTCTGTCAAGCACCTTAACTACTGGGAACGCTTGGAAGCACTTGACTTGTACTCGTTGGAACGCAAGAGGGAGAGACATATCATAATCTACACTTGGAAAATCTTGGAAGGAATGGTCCCAAATCTGCACACAGAAATCACTCCCTACGAAAGTAAAAGACTGGGCAGGCGATGCAAAATGCCCCCAATAAAAAGTAGGGGCGCCATTGGTACACTAAGGGAAAACACCATAAGTGTCCGGGGCCCAAAACTGTTCAACAGCCTCCCATCAAGCATTAGGGGAATTACCAATAAGCCCCTGGGTGCCTTCAAGAGAGAGCTGGACAGATACCTAAAGTCAGTGCCAGATCAGCCGGGCTGTGGCTCGTGAGTCGGACTGCGTGCGGCCAACAGTAACAGCCTAGTTGATCAGGCCCTGATCCATTGGGAGGCCTGGTCATGGACCGGGCCGCGGGGGCGTTGATCCCCGGAATAACCTCCAGGTAACCTCCAGGGGGATGGGAAATGGGAGTTGCAGCAAGTACTGTAAGCCATCCTGTGGGTAGTAGTCACTCCATACCCATGCTGTGGGTAATATAGGCATCCCATACCCATCCTGTGGATAGTAGTCATCCCATACCCATCCTGCGGGTAGTATAGCCACCCCATACCCATCCTGTGGGTACTAGCCATCTGCATACCCATTCTGTGGATAGCAGCCACCCCATACCCATACTGTGGGTAGTATAGACACCCTATACCCATACGTGGGTAGTAGCCACCCCATACCCATCCTGTGGGAAGTAGTTACCCCATACCCATCCTGTGGGTAGTAGCCACCTCATACCCATCCTGTGGGTAGTAGCCACCCCATATCCATCCTGTGGGTAGTATAGCAATCCCATACCCATCTGTGGGTAGTATAGCCATCCCATACCCATCCTGTGGGTAGTATAGCCATCCCATACCCACCTCCAACAGAACCTAGCCACCAGAGATACCATTTAACAGTCCTGTTGGCCGAGGGGGTAATTGGAGTAGGGTATATGAGAGATGGGTAGGTGGGTATCGCTGTGGTCTGGGGTATGTCATGTGACCATCGTGGTGGGCAGTGTCTTCCAAGATGGCTGTGGACTGAGTGATGTTCAATTGTTTTTTTCTTTTTAATAATAATAATAATAATAATAATAATAATAACAATAATAATAATAATAATAGGGATAGTACGATTATTTTTATTATTAATAATTATTATTATTATTTGTAATGATAATTTACGTAATTCGTTATTCAGTTTACCTCGTTATATCATAATTTATTACAGTGAGAGAGAGAGAGAGAGAGAGAGAGAGAGAGAGAGAGAGAGAGAGAGAGAGAGAGAGAGAGAGAGAGAGAGAGAGAGAGAGAGAGTTAGCACTCATCTCTCACTTCCTCACCAATATTATCAGTAACAACAAAGGTCTCACAGATATACACTTGCCAGTGTTGCCACTTCCGCAATTTATCTCACTTAAGTGTATTGTTTTAGGTCCACTTAGCTTTTATTTCTTGCTAGAGACTCTAGCTTTTTTTTCTATATTTTTTTCTCTCTCTCACTTTTTTCCACTCACTGGCGAACCTAACCACTAACTCACTCACTTTCTCTCTCTCTAAACTCTCTCTTTATGTTAGTTCATGGATATTGACGTATACGCTTGGATTTTTAGGGCTTAAAGAGAGAGAGAGAGAGAGAGAGAGAGAGAGAGAGAGAGAGAGAGAGAATAACAGCTCTTAGCTTCTAAATAAAGTTAGGAACTTTAACCTAACCTTGTAAAGTTGTGTGTAAAGAGAAGGAGAGAGAGAGAGGGACAGAGAGAGAAGAGAGAGAGAGAGAGAGAGAGAGAGAGAGAGAGAGAGTCTCATTCTCCTTGCTCCATTTCTTTTCCATCACCTCCGCTTCTCTCACTCTTCTCCCCCTCTCTTCCTCTCCCCATCTCCCCCTCTCCCCATTTCTTCTCCCCCAGATCAAACTATCAGTACCACCCACACAATAAACGGAAGACCCTGTTTGGGTTCCTCGTAACCCAAACGGGTCTTATCTTAACTCTCTTATCGAAGAAGAATTCTCTAACTAATGGGATCCAACTCTTGTGTTAGAGGTGTAACCGATGCTCACTTGTCTCTCCTTTCACCTTATTGTTTATCTTTTTACTCGTGTTTATTTATTCCCCCCCCCTTGTGTTTATACGTTTTTCTTTTGTTTATATTTTGTTCCAGACTTATTGATTTTTCATGTTTAATATTGCTTTTCAGTGTTTTCCAATTCCTTTTGTTTATAGTTTTTCTGGTGTTTATAATTCTGGTGTTTATACTTCTGGTGTTTATAATTCTGGTGTTTATAATTCTGGTGTTTATAATTCTGGTGTTTATACTTCTGGTGTTTATAATTCTGGTGTTTATAATTCTGGTGTTTATAATTCTGGTGTTTATACTTCTGGTGTTTATACTTCTGGTTTATACTTCTTTGAAATTCGTAGTTATTTCTGAAGGTTTATATTTCTTTCCATTGCTTATAGTTCCTTTTGTTTATAGTTCCTTTTGTTTATAGTTCTTTCTGGTGGTAACAGTTTTTTTTTTTTTTGGCTTTTATAGTTTTTTTTTCCTAATGTTTATTGTTCTTTCTGGAGTTTATTGGTAATTTCTGATGCTGCCTTTTCTTTTTCTTATTTTAGTTCTTTCTAATGTTTATAGTTTTTCTGGAGTTTATAGTTTTTTTCTGGTGCTTATATTTATTCAGGCATTTATTGTTCTTTCTGGTGTTCAGAGATTTTGTTTTGTTTATAATATTTTTCTGGCGTTTATAGTTTTTCTTTTGTTTATGGGCTTTCTTTCTGGTATTTATAATTTTTTCTGTCGTTTATAGCATTTTCTAGAGTTTATAGAATTATAAACACTAGGGTCAAACTAACAAAATAAATTATGCTAAATTAAATAGTCATAGCCCAGTGGTGAGAGTCGCGGCTCTCTTAACTAAGGTCAAGGAATCGAATCCCTGGACGTATAAGCAAAACATCTGCCTTTCATACTTAATCTTGCTTCTCTTTCTCCCCAGGTGGTGAAACTGATCTTCCAGGGCATCTTACTGAGTCCACCAGACACCTGTCCACCGCAGGTGTGCGACGTGATGCGCAGGTGTTGGGCCACTGACCCCAACGACCGTCTCAAGTTCCCCGAGATCCTGAACCGCCTTCAGCGTCTCCAGCAGGGCTGGAAGGGATCAGCAGCGTCCCCTGTACCTGCGTCAGGGACTCAGGCTCCTCCAGTGCCCATAACATATAGTGAACTCTGTCTACACGACGAGGGTGGACTCGAACTGGACTCGGACCAGTACCTCATGCCCAGGAAGGTCGAACAGAGAGAGTACATCACAATCCTTAACGATGTGTGATGTCCTCTAGTGTTGTTTCTACCTCCTCACATCCCTCAATTGAGAGCCTGTTGATTTGAGGGCCTGTTTTTGAGGCCCTGTTGGTTTGAGGGCCTGTTTTCTGAGGCCCTGTTGATATGAGGATCTTTCATGAGGTCCTGTTGATTTGAGGGTCTTTTTATAAGGCCCTGTTGATTTGAGGGCCTGTTTTTAGAGGCCCTGTTGATTTGAGGGCCTGTTAGTTCCTGGTCCTGCTGGGTCCTGGTTTCCTCTCCATCGAAGACGAAGAAAGAGAAAACAAAAAAAAATATACAACGATGTTCCCACTTCGGCTGAAACTCTTCTTGTTGGTCTGTCATCATCGAAGTGCATTTGATCAGCGTCTTCACCTTCAGGATACCGCAAGCGTTCCTGTGTGTGTCTTCGTACGTGTAAAGCTCTTTGTTTGTGAGGGGATGGCAATGTTTACAACATCAGACCTCAATGGTAAGAACTTTTAGCTTGAGACCAACATGTTTCTTCATCCAAAATACCACCAACGATTTCTTGTGTAATTCTCCCTAGCTTTACCTTGATGGGGATCCACTCTTCTCATGCATTCTCCTCCTTACCTCTTTCTCTTCTTTCCTCTTATACATTTCCTTCTTCAGTTTATCTCTTTCATTCCTTCCACACTTTCTCTCTTCTTGTCTAAACAGTAATGGTTCGAGTGCACTCGTGTACATGCACTCGACTTGTCTATATCGCTGGGACAACCACAGCCTCGAGAAACAACCACCAGTGCTGTCACGACCACGACCTCGGGGAAACACGACCCCCAGTGCCGAGACGACCACTGCCTCGGGAAACACGACCCCTAGTGCTGAGACGACCACAACCTGAGGAAACACGAGCACAGCCTTGAGAAACACGACCACAACTGCTGGCACGACCGCTACCTCGGGGAACACACGACCATAAGTGCTAGCACGACCACAGCCTCGGATAAACACACGACACGGTGGGCAAAACTACCAACTACGTCGACCAGACACGACACATTCCCAGTGTTGACAAACTCTCACCGACATTCCAGCGCCATCCCTCGTAGCCTAAGAAGCTGCCTGCGGGAACGGACCGTAGTAACGCAGCCTGGAAGCTTCCCATCACCCCACAGATAGACATTCAGCAACGATTTTGCATTTAGGAACCCCAGAGTTCAACCCTTCCAGTGACTTGAAAAACGAGACGGTTCATCACGTCTTAAATCCGAACGCACACGGACACACAGTCATGTACATTGTATACCGTCTTCGTTGTTCTGTATTATACAAAATTCTGTGTACTGACGCTATAATTCAGTGTTTTTGTTATTGCAAATCTGCATTGTGCTCACATTGAATTTTTTTTGACTCAATTATAGAGAAAATTTTGCAAATCGTCAATTATAAATATATATATATATTATATATATATATTATATATATATATTATATATATAAAAATATATATAAAATATACACACATAGTCCACAATCAAGGGAGGTGCCTTGATGCCGTGAGCTCTGGATCCAAGGGATCGAACCAATAATCCCTTGAGATCAAACCTGATTGCCTTATATTCTCACAGGCAGGCCCTACAGGTTTAGCCCTTCCCCATATTAACACTAATATGTTCTTGGGGTATATATTATACCTCATAAATGACCGCCAGAGAGATATACTCTTGGGATGAATATATGATCTAGAGAATATATCGCATAGGGTATATCTCTAAATATACCTGAGAGATTGGACAACTGTTTGTGGGTGTATATACGAGTGCAGTTTTGTATATATATATCCTGGTATTACTCGTTTTTTATGGAGGGGAGGAAGTATACCTGGAGGGGGTCTCGGGGGATCATCGCCCCCTCTGCCCGGTCCGTGACCGCTCATCGCGGTGGATCAAGGAGATATACCCGCATATATGACACGGATATACGCTAGAGCTGTTGTTATTCCCTATAATTTTACCTGCCTCTAATTATACTCCTATCGGGTTTTAATTATAGGTGACACGCAGCCTTAATGACCCTCGTGCAGTAGATAGGCTTCAAACCCCATTACCAAGCCAACCATTAACACTAGACTCATAATTCATGCACTGAGAGGTATATATCTCTGTGCATATACATTCAAATGTGTATATCTCTGCATATATATACATTCAAATGTGTATATCTCTGCATATATATACACTCAGAGGTGAGAGGTATATATATCTCTCTATATATATTGAAATATGAATATCTCTGTATACACATACAAACACTTAAAGGCGTATATCTCAGCGCATATACACTATGAGTATACCTTAATCAGTATTTTAAGTATTATGCATGACTGGTGGTGAACAGGTGACATGCAGCCATAATGATCCCTCGTGTAGTAGATAGGCTTCAAACTCAACAAATATACCCGCTGATTATTTAAATAACGTATTTTTGAGTATTTCTTTATATTTTTAAGTGTATAGATGTGTTTTCAATGCGGGTACTGTGTGTGTGTATGTTGTGTGCGCATAAATAAGTGCACATGGCCAGCCTGATGATACATACATGCCAACTCTGATGTGTACATTGGGAAACAGAGGAATATAGACGCATACATAGACACACATACACAGACACACAGACACACATACACAGAGAGACACACACATAGACACAGCCACACACACACACGGGATACAGAAACAAGGGGTCACAATTGGAAGCTGAAGACTCAGATGAGTCAAAGGGATGTTAGGAAGTATTTCTTCAGTCATAGAGGTGTTAGAAAGTGAAATAGTCTGAGGAGAGGTTAAGGGAACTCAACCTGTTGACACTAGAGGATAGGAGGGATAGAGGGGACATGATAACAACGTATAAAATACTGAGAGGCATTGACAAAGTGGACAAGGATCGAATGTTTCAGAGATGGGATACAGAAACAAGGGAACGCAATTGGAAGCTGAAAACCCAGATGAGTCATAGGGATGTTAGGAAGTATTTCTTTAGTCTTAGAGTTGCCAGGAATTGGAATAATCTGGAGTGTGAAGTAGCGGAAGCAAGTTCCATAAATAGCTTTAAGAAGAGGTATGACAAAGATCATGGAGCAGGGAGAGAGTGAATTAGTATCGACCAGTGAAGAGGCGGGGCCAGGAGCTATGAATCAACCCCTGCAACCACATATAGGTGAGTACATATAGGTGAGTACACACACACACACACACACACACACACACACACACACACACACACACACACACACACACACACACACACACACACACACACACACACACACACACACCACACCTCGTCATCTCTGGCAGAACATTCCTTGCTTAGTCGGCTAAGTCTGCAAGAGTTGCCTAGAAAGTACTACACAAGCCTTCAGAGAGTGTTCCTCCCTCACACATGCAGAGTTAATTTCCTGTCGTAAAGATCCTGTGCAATTTAACATATATATATACGTTCTTAGGTTCTAGTACCTGCCTGAATATATATATATATATATATATATATATATATATATATATATATATATATATATATATATATATATATAATATATATATATATATATATATATATATATATATTATTTCTATACTTTTAACTTGGCCCACCTGCACAAATCAGTATTAATCTTGTATTCTCGTATCATTCTTGTATTTTTTTCCAGTCGTGGGAATACAGATATTACCAGTACAGTATTTCCAGTGCTGTCTATATATACTGTAACCACAGCTGGACCGTTGCTGTATTTACTGCCATTAAAATATGTATTTTGTCAAGGCTGGTTTTTTTCCCCTCACCTCTTAAAATTTGTGCCGTTTTATTCAGCCCTGTATGGCCCTTGTGGGTTCAGCGCTTAGTTTTGATAATAATAATAATAATTATAATAATAAATAATAATAATAATTTCGATTTACGAAGGATTTTTTGTTTCTGGGATCCGTCAAGGTGGGCAGCTGCTGCCCGGTACACAGGTGTGTGTTTATCGCTGTGTATATACACCGAGAGGTGTGTATCGTGTATCTGCGTATATGTACAGGTGTGTATCTGTGTATATACACAGGTGTATATCTCCCTTTATATACACTGGAATCTATGTATATACACCAAAAGGTGGTATTTCTCGATGTATATACACAGAGGTGTTTATCTCGGTGTATATACTGTATATCCACAGTATATATCTCAGTATATATAAACTGTGAGGTGTGTATATCTCTGTGTGTATATACAAAGAGACATCTCTCATGGTATACACGTACACTGAGAATGGAGTACCTCTTTGTATACCAGTATATACACCGAGAGGTATACATCTCAGCGTATACACACTGTTTTAGGTATTAAAGTATTCTTGACTGGTGGTGAACAGACGACATGCAGCTTTAATGACCCTCGTGTAGTAGATAGGCTTGAAATTCCCCCCTCCTCCTCCTCCTCCTCTTCTTTTTCTTCCTTCTTTCATTGTTTACCTTCCTTCCTTCTTTAGAAAACGGAGCATTGGTCTAGTGAATTACCACAGAAAACTAAGAAGTAACAAAAAGTTTGGGGGTAACTAACCTATAACACTGACAAGACTATTTTTTAATAATAATAATAAGAATAATAATCTTTATTTCTACAAGTACACGATACAACTTATACAGACCATAGCTGACATCAGTGACATAATATTATATATAGAAAGTCCCTGGTTATGTGGAGCATTTCCCGAAAATTAGGTCAATTTTGTCCCCAGGATGCGACCCACACCAGTTCACTAACACCCAGGTACCTATTTTACTGCTAGGTGAGCATGGACAGCAAGTGTCTTAAGGAAAAGCATCCTAATATTTCCACCCGTACTGGGGATTGAACCACTTCTTATTGTAATATTTTGTTATTTAAACCACGGGTTTAAATAACAAGATATTGGAAATATAAACACATGCAGTATAATATGATCCTTTATTGACTACGTTTCGCCCACACAGTGGGCTTTTTCAAGTCACAAACAGATCTGTTTGTGACTTGAAAAAGCCCACTGTGTGGGCGAAACGTAGTCAATAAAGGATCACATTATACTGCATATTTGTTTATAATTCCATTGTGTCGGTATTTTATACCATTTATTTCCAATAAGATATTACAATAACACCAATGAAAATAAGTTACTTTATCTGACCTCTTTTTGGGTTATCTTACATAATTTACACTATGATAATTATACTTATATGAACCTGTGCTAGGAACCGTGATTCGACCCCCTCCCCTACAGCCGTAGCTACACACGCACACATCTTCACACACTAAGTCTGTGGGAGCTGCATGACTTTTAGTGGGGAATTTTAAGACTTGCTTTTAAGACTTGACGACCATAAGGCTTTTTTCCCATTTACGAACGACTCCATGGAGGGACGTGATCAAGGACATATACACTGACATACACACTTCTTAGTATGTGTATATACATAATATATATATATATATATATATATATATATATATTATATATATATATATATATATATATATATATATATATATAGTGTGTGTGTGTGTGTGTTGTGTGTGTGTACTCACCTAGTTGTACTCACCTAGTTGAGGTTGCGGGAGTCGAGTCCGAGCTCCTGGCCCCGCCTCTTCACTGGTCGCTACTAGGTCACTCTCCCTGAGCCGTGAGCTTTATCATACCTCTGCTTAAAGCTATGTATGGATCCTGCCTCCACTACATCGCTTTCCAAACTATTCCACTTACTGACTACTCTGTGGCTGAAGAAATACTTCCTAACATCCCTGTGATTCATCTGTGTCTTCAGCTTCCAACTGTGTCCCCTTGTTACTGTGTCCAATCTCTGGAACATCCTGTCTTTGTCCACCTTGTCAATTCCTCTCAGTATTTTGTATGTCGTTATCATGTCCCCCCTATCTCTCCTGTCCTCCAGTGTCGTCAGGTTGATTTCCCTTAACCTCTCCTCGTAGGACATACCTCTTAGCTCTGGGACTAGTCTTGTTGCAAACCTTTGCACTTTCTCTAGTTTCTTCACGTGCTTGGCTAGTTGTGGGTTCCAAACTGGTGCCGCATACTCCAATATGGGCCTAACGTACACGGTGTACAGGGTCCTGAATGATTCCTTATTAAGATGTCGGAATGCTGTTCTGAGGTTTGCTAGGCGCCATGTGCTGCAGCAGTTATTTGGTTGATGTGCGCTTCAGGAGATGTGCCTGGTGTTATACTCACCCCAAGATCTTTTTCCTTGAGTGAGGTTTGTAGTCTCTGGCCCCCTAGACTGTACTCCGTCTGCGGTCTTCTTTGCCCTTCCCCAATCTTCATGACTTTGCACTTGGTGGGATTGAACTCCAGGAGCCAATTGCTGGACCAGGTCTGCAGCCTGTCCAGATCCCTTTGTAGTTC